CCCGATATATATTATAATCAATAGCAAATATAAAGAAATTGCCTTTACAAATCAAAATTGAATGTCTTCCTAAAAAAATATTAGTATATCAATTATCTACAATATTCGAAGTTATAGAATTCGATAGAAACATTTTGCTTGACAATCGAGTTACTTTTTATATTCGAGTAGGATTTAGAATTAATAATTATATCAAAAAGAAGATTATTTTATATATAATCAAGCTAATCTATTATTCTATTATACTAAGGATAATTTGATTTAAAAAACACAATCTCTATATCAATTTCGTGATAAACTTATTTTAGTTTGATAACTTGTTTTGCTATAAATTTTGTAATACTTTATCCCACTCGTTCTGTATAAAAGCTTTGCTAGATGTTTCTCCAAAAGTCCAATTTATATATCTACCTATCTACTTTAAAGGATTAAAGAATAAGAATATAGCCATAATCTTTCTAAAAGCCTATTTAGCTTATATTTACTGGAAATATGAAATATTCTAGATATCAATTAAATAAATCAATAATATTCTAAATAAAAAGAAAAAGATATTCGATTCTAAAAATTTATTATTTGAATTCCAAAATTGAAAAGATATCTTCTTCTCAAAGAATATAGAGAAACTATTCTTTTATCAATTATATAATTATAAGATCCATTTTAAAAAAGAAGCTATTTCTTCTTTCAATACTTTATACTCTATATCCTATTTCAAATTAAAAGTTCTAAAAGAATAATTAGAAGAGAATCTTAGAAAAGGATTTATTCAATTAAATTTTTTTTCTATTACTTTCTTTATTTTATTTATTAAAAAGATTAATAAAGGCCTCCGATTTTGTATAAATTATTGTACTTTGAATAATTTGTTAGTTAAGGATTGATATTTTTTATTATTAATAAAAGAATTTCTAAACAATCTGAAAAAAATAAAATATTTTAATAAAATTAATATTATCTTTATCTTTAATAATATAAAAATAAAAAAAGGGCAGGAATATCTGATTATATTTTATACCCGATTTGAATTATTCAAATCCTTAGTTATATTATTCAGGCTGATAGGGGCTTTTGCAATCTTTTAGAGGTTTATCAATAATTCTCTATGGGGATATTTGGATATATTTTGTATTGTTTATTTGAACGATATTTTAATATATAGTCAAACTCGAAAGGAATATATTTGTTATATCCAGAAGGTTCTGTAAGTATTAAGGGAAGTCGGTTTATTTACTAAATTCGAAAAATACAAATTCCTGAAATCCAAAACCAAGTTTCTAGATCTTATTATAGAAAATAATAATATTCAAATAGATCTAGAGAAAATCCAAATAATTATAAATTAAAAATTACCTACTAGTGTAATCAATATCCAAGTATTTATTAGGTTTTCGAACTTTTATTAATAGTTTATTAAAGATTTTTCAAAAATTATCAATCTAATAATAAATCTAATTAAAAAGAATATTCCGTTTTTATAAAGCCTTGTTTATTAAAAAGCATTCAATTGATTGAAGTGAATATTTATTGAAATATCTATCCTAGCTTTCTTTAATTAGGAAAAGGAAATAATTATAGAAATTAATACTTTTGATTATATATCCATTAGAGTACTCTTTTAATACAATAATAATAAAATATTTAGATCTATTACATTCTTCTTTAAAAATACTCGATAGTTAAATACAATTACAAGATTTATAATAAAGAACTATTAATTATTATCCATTACTTCAAAAAATAATATCCCAAATTAGAAAACACCACATTACTAATTCAAATAATTATTAATTATAGAAATCTGAAATACTTTACCACAATAAAACTATTAAACTGCTATCAAACTTATTAATTCAAATTTCTATCTCAATTTAATTTCCAAATTATTTATCACTTTGAAAAGCTAAATGTCAAATCCGATGCACTAACCAGAAGATTAGAAAATCTCTTTAAGAAAAGAAATGAACACCTCCTATATCAAAGCTGTATTATTCTAAAACAAGAAAACCTAAATTCCGATTTGTTTTCCATTATTATTATTCTAATTGAATCTAAGATTGTTAAAAGAATATACTTCATTATAACCACCCATAGTCAGAAAAACCCCAACCCTGCAATACAACTAGAGGACTCAGAAAACTCTTTAAACCTTCTTGCCGATCTGCTTACTTTGTTTACAAAAACTACCAAGCCGATTCTGTACCCGAATCTGTCCTGAAATCCCTACGAGAGGGATCCTCGAAATACTCGAAAATCATTCTTGTTGAGTATATCGAAAACAATAATCTGTTGTATTATCAAGGGAAACTATATGTTCCCGATCACAATCCCTTGAAAACCTATCTGCTTTGTTTGTACCATGAATCGCTTGTTGCTGATTACCCGCACTGTATTCAAACCTTTAAATTACTATTCCGAAATTACTATTAGCCTGGATACTATGATTATATTACATAATGAGTTTGTAACTACTATAGTTACTATTGCGCTGCCTTGAATTGTAAAGACTAGGAGGAAGTTCTTTACCTATTTTTAATCCTGCAAAAAGCTTAGTAAGATATTTTAATAGATTTCATTATATATTTACTTGAAAGTATTGATTTCGATATTATTATAATAGTAATTGACTGATTAACAAAAATGAAACATTTTTTGCCCTATTATAATATCTATAATTTCGAAAAGATTGCTTACTTGTTTCGAAAGAATATCTAGAAGCTTCACGGCTTACCCCTAACCATTATATCTGATTGTGAAGCTCAATTCGTCTCTGAATTCTGGAAATATATCTATAAGCATTTAGATATAGCTGCCAAGCTTTTAATTGTTTATTATTCTAAAACTGATAGACAAATCGAGAGGGTTAATACAATACTGGAATAATATTTCTGGTTATATATAATCTATCTATAAAACAACTAAGCAAAGTAACTCCTACTCATCGAATTCTTTATTAATAATATCTAATCCAAAAGCATTTAAATGATTTTATTCTTCTCAAACTACAGATTCTATTTCTATTTAGACTTCGAGCCTATATTGTCCTAAAGTAACTATTCTATTATACAAAATATCAAAGAATTCGTTATTAAAATGAAAACTATCTTTTTATATCTATAGATTGAATTAATTATTAATCAAATCTGATATTTAAAGAATATTGATATCTGCCATTCCCCTATCTATAAATATCTATCCAATAATTTGGTTTGACTGAATATCAGAAATATTAAGATTCTGTATCTACAAAAAAAGTTCGATTAAAAGAACCTTAGGTCCTTCAAAATCCTAAACTCGATAGGCCTTTATACCTATAAACTGGAGCTCCCAGCCTCAATAAAGATTCATCCTATTTTCCATATCAATCTGCTATATCCTATACACAATAATCCTATTTCTAAACAATATAATCTGCCACCACCCCCTGTAGAAATAGACAGCCTCGAGTGTTTTGAGATTGCCGAAATCCTAAACTTCTGTTAGAAAAAAAGAGGTTATGGAGAACCTCACCTGAAATATACTATCCATTGAATCGACTACAATACACCAACCAAAGAACCTGTAAGCTACCTGGAAAACATACAAAAACTGATCTGCAACTTCTACTATAGATACCCTAACAAACCCGGTCCCGCTTGACCAGACCCCACCTGCCTATAGATTATAAACCGTAATGTATTACTTTAATAAAGCTCGATCTTTAAAAAGGGGATAATATTATAGTGTGAGTTTACATAATATACTAATCCTATCGGAAAGAACCGAAAAGAATACTCGTACCGAAGTGCAAACAAGCTAAAGCCCGATCAAGCTAGCTCGCTATGAGAATTCCGTATATCTTTAACTCAGAAGATCCTATATTGTAACTCTTTAAACTACATCTTAATCCTTAATCTAAACCTATTACCCGAATTAGTATAGCCTTGCCAGATTAGAGCAAAGTTATTAGAACCCTATCCAGCCCGCCTGCCCCGTGATATCACTATACATATAACGCTTTTCCAATTAAAATAGAAGATTATTTGTCTTTTTATATTCTAGCTTATTTATTATAAAAAAAAAAACTAAGCATTATATTATAAAAGGATTCAATATCATTGAAATTATTTAAAAAAATGTATCATTTATTTTTAAATATTTTTATAATAGTATTTTTGAAAAGTTAAAGTTGGAAATTCAAAAAAGTTCGAAAAATTTGTTTATTTTGTATAGGAAAAGTATTACAAGTTAAAAATTCTGAGCTTTTTCAATTAAAAGCTTATATAACTTTTCAACAAAAATAATTAAAAATAAATTGGAAATTTTTATATATATCACGGAGGTAATAGCTATATCTAATAATCACTTTGATTAGGAGATAGGTATATAGAATAATAATAAATTAGATTGATTTGAGGTATAATTATAAAGATTATACCTGATTTATATATCCTGATTAGACAATAGAGTTACCTAATTAGATATATAGAGTGTGTGAACAAGGGTATTCACTTCAAAGGAATGACTTCAATACAATAGCTAATTACTATATTAAAGGAATTAAGCGAAAGAGACTAGCTCTTTCAATAGTGTCTATATAAGGCCTACTACTTTTCTACATAGCTAGCTCTTTAGACAGAATACAATTAGACATTTAGGACCTATCAATACGTAGGTGCTACGTCTTCCGTATCCTTCTCAAACCAACAATAATAATATCCTCGTGGTATATTTGTATATCTGTATATCTATATGTATGTCTGTATGTATGTACGTCTGTAAGTCTGTATGTACGTATGTACGTATGTCTGTATGTATCTATATAAGTTTTCAAATCCAAATATATACCACCTAACCCCAATGCTCAAAACACCATCCACCAACCCAATATAAACAAACCTCTACTATCCAAAAAAAATCACACAAAACCCAACTCACTCCAATGTACCCCAAGCAATCCCTTCAAATCCCCGAATGCAAGTTCCCGAAAAGTAAACCCCGAATGCACCCCAAATACAACCCTAAACCAACCCCAACGAAACCTTAAACCCACCCATATCCAACCCACTTAAACTTTCCTCCACCGGTTCCAAAAGATCCATCAACCCATTCCCAAACGCATGAATATCCAACTCCTCCTTCTCTCTCTTTCCCCCACCCCCACTCCCCCCACACATTCTAACCACTTCACACGCATTTGTGATTTCAAAATTCTGAAAGCTATCATAAATACTAATGAAAGAATGACCCGTATAAGGAGCTTCAGGTAGCGGATAAAGGTTATGATAAATCGCTTCTTTGATCAACATTCCCAAAACCATCGCATCGCATTGTTTATTATGTTGAGGAATTTGCTCGGCGGATAAATGTGAAGGACGACCACGACATACGAGAGTAGAGGTTTGATAATTTTCAATCGTGTCTCTGAGTGCTGAGATTGCTTCATCAAGAGCTCGGATTCGATCTTGTTCGATATTTTCTAGAAATCGATTAGCACTTCAATCTCCAACCTACCATCGGGGCAACAAACCAATAACAGAACTCGGCACCGGAATATCCCAATTTGAATCCCTAATCATCTCTGCCAAACTCGTCGTACTCTCCTGTTGAAAAATCCTCGTCAAAGAAGTAAAATCCCTCGCCTTTTCAAAAACCCATGAAATACAAAGCCATTGCAGACACACTTCAATCCCATCTTCTGCCATACTCGATGGAAATTTCTTCTTGGCCTGAGAAATCCACATGTCGGAATATATCTGCACCGCTTCATGCAAACGATATTTATCCACCAAAATCGCCAGATGCGTAAGCAAACTCAGTTTAACTTTTCGAGGCACATCTTTATGGTGACAATGAACGATATCAACCAAGATACGCATGGCATCTGGATCATCATCGGGGAGGGGAACTTCGACTTTCCCATGTGCTTTCATCGCATATCCTTCTTTGAAATTACTCCACTGAAGCATTGCTTTGAAAACGGGAGAAACAAGGACCATATGTTTTGACGAAACCAACATATGAATTTCCTTCAATTCCTTTTTATTTTTTTCCTTTTCCTTTTCCACAATCTCATTCACATTCACATTCCCATCTGCATCTTCCTCCACCGTCTCCAAAACAGCTACCTCTCCATCCCCGACAATCTCATCCCCAATCCCCGAATCATCCACTGCCGTCGCCACCATTTCCATTCCTGACCCCGCTCCTCCGATCTTCCTCTTCGAAACATTACTCTTCTTCCTCTCATTCAAAATCAACAACAAATCACCATCTGGATCAATCGTCACCCGTTCCGCCATCTTCCTCCTCATCATCGCTTTCGCACACGATTTATGTTCCAAGCGTAATTGATTCTCATCCTCTTCTCTCTCCTCCGCATCATCTCCATCAACACCATCATACGTTTCGATGATTTCTTCTTCGTGCGAGGGCTCGTGGATATACTTTACGCGTTTATTGCGATGGCCTTGAGTTGCGGATTTGGAAGTTTGACCTGCAGAAAATTGTTGCGGGAAGAGCGCACGGAGAAATCTAGGATGAAATGGATTGGTCATTGAGTCTCGAGTCTTGAGGTGTTTATTTATTGATCAAATGAAATCAATCTGTTGAATGGATATGAAATGGCAATCTACCTTTCGCTATGCATTTGCGTATGTGAATTGACAATGGTAAATGATCGCATCTTGGTATGCTTCGGATTTTATTTGTTTACTTTGGAGGCAAAGATTGGCGACACTATCGGATTCTCGAGGTGTTGCGTCGTTGTGTCGTTGCGTGGTGAACGAAAGGTTACTAGGAGAGCCCTTGCAAGTGGGGTTTATTTTGGATTGGAGTACGAGTACCGGAAAAGTTCACTAGTTTCTCTCTTCAGTCAATCTTGGAGAAGTTTTCGTGTTTGTAGATGAGTACCTAGTTACCTAAGTAGATAAACTGCAAATAAATAAATATAAATCTCGAAAAACAGCAAACAGAAAACGATAAATAAATGAAAAAATATTCACTCGTCAAAAAGTCCCCATCTGGTGTCGTGTCACCACTCTTGCATTCAAAAGACGAGTTAAGCTAACTCAGTATAGCATATTCCTCAAAAAACTGGGACCAAAATCAAAGAATCTTCTTCAAGAACATCTCCATCTCACACCTCAACAACAATTTGCCATCCAATCCCACGAAATGCAAACATCGAGTGGAATATCACCTTCCGAGTGTTTACGGAGTATATCAAAGTCCATACCAAAAAAAGTCGCGCAACACATTATGATAATTACTCATTGAATCATTTTCGATGAAATAAAAGGTAGGATCTTGATAGTTAAGTATTCCGTCCGATGCATCCATCTATATCAACAACTCAACTACCAGTCCAGTATCAAAGCATCAATCAAGTAAGACCCTCTAATAAATTGACGGGGCAATGGAAACTTATCTACGAGGGCGTGTCTTTGATGATTGCCGGATCCATACGCAAGCACTTTTTCATACCAAACTCATTCATTTTAGAATTCAATATTAAATTAATTAATATTATTATATATTTAAAATTTTATAAAATAATAAATTTTTATTTAAAATTTAATAACATAATTTTAGTTTTTTTTATTAAAGCTTTTAATTAAGTCAAAATTTATATTGAAGTTTTAATGCTTAAAATTTCTATATAGAATTTTATTATCAATTCAATTCAAAAATTAATAACTTTAATATTAAAGTAATTATTAATTATATTTTTCTATATATTTCAAATTTCAAGTTTTATAATAAATATTTGAATTATTATTTATTTATAAATATATAGAATAAAGCATAGTTGTCACGGATCGCACCCAATCGCAGTTGCGATCGCTCACGTGCGCGCTTGCGCACGTGCATGATCACGTGTACATAGCTAGTATATAGGAGCGCTCTACGAGCGCTTTGCTCCCGATTCTGTAGTTGTAGATTCTAAGGATAAATTGTACCCTGCTCTCGCAGTTCTTCTAAGGCAAAGTGTCACAATAGTTTTGGTAAGGAAATTCGCTTAAATTTCAGCCCGATATTCATCAAGACACACCCTTGTATACACCTATCTATCTACCTACCTACCTACCTATCTATCTATCTACCTGCATACCCATCTATTCCATGAATCCACGAGTAATAAACCGCACATTCACATCCCATTCAACATCATATCTAATCAAATCCACCCCCTTTCCAGTCCCAGTATCTACATATCCAGCATCTACATATCCCTCCCTCCCTCCCTCGAGAAACAGATCCCCACCTACCCAGAACCTCCGCATAAACTACAATCCCAATTCCAACTCACAATCCATAAACATAAACATACATACATACATACATACATACATACATACATACATACATACATACATACATACATACATACATACCTAAATTCAATCATCAAACACATACTCAATCCCTAAACTTCTATTTGAATACCCAATCCCCAAAATGCCCAATCAATACCTAGACACAATACACAATTCCCACCTCCAGCTACCAATACCTACCTAGATCTATTGCGGCTGGTGGGCTAACAAACAGCCTTGACCAAAAAAACACAACCCAACACATCCAATCGATTCCGCCGAGAAAGCCAAGCGGGCCAAGATATTTAGCTGGAAGCTTATTTCTTCTTCATGTATTTTCATTTAGAGTCATGATGTTTGGATAGATATTCAGATAGGTAGGGTAAGTAATCCAATCCAATTGAATCAAAGTGATTCTTTTTACATCACCAGAGATTGCTTTTATTTCGTTCCACTCCACCTCCCATTGCTTCCTCTTCCCCATCTCCGCATTTCCTCCGCCCACAACTTCCCACCTCCCAACACCACATCACAACACATATCTAAACCTAGGACCATCATTCTCATCTCCCGCCTCTCCACCCGCATATGACTTCTCCCCCAACTTATCCTCAGCCTCTTTCTCACCCACCACATTACCCTTCGCATCCCTCCTACCCACCACCCCATACTTCTCATCCAATCTCTTATTCTCCCAATTCAACAATATTCTCAACGCCAGCGCCAAAATACCATTGAAAATCATAAACGCAGTGCACACCCACATTCCCTTGCGGTAATATGGACCATCTTCCGAGGGATACATTCTCGTTCCAAGAAGCGGACCACATTGACCCACCATATTGAGGAGTGCGATTCCCGTGCCACGCTTGGTGTCTGAGCCTTGATTATTCAAAACCCAAGGGAGGATGTTAGAGATGGCGGGGAAGATTCCTGCGGCGGCGAAGAAGACACCCGTGTAGCGGGGCCCGGTTGTGGAAGTGGTGGCCTACGGATGGATGTTAGTTGGGATTTCCATTTGATATCGTGTTTGGGATGTATTATTTACCAATAAGATGTATCCGATGGCACCAATAACCGAGAGGAACATGATTACCAAACCACGTTGTTGAGTGCGATCAGCAATGTAGGTTGAGAGGATGACGACGATGAACGCGAGGAAATACGGGGGAGCGGATAAACCCTGGGCGTTAATGGATGAAAAACCCATCTCGTTAAGAATAGTGGGGAGGAATACGGGGAGGGAGCTAAAGGATACATTGCATGAGAAGTACATCAAGGCTGTAAGCCAATTCTAGTGATGACATTATTAGAGTTTGATGCCTCAAACATACACGTAAGATGAAACGTACCTTTGGATCCACAAGAGCTGCAGCAATATCAGCCCATTTGACACCTCCAACACGATGTTCTTCCTCTGCGCCTACTTGTCTTACGCCTCGTGCTTTAGCGACCGCTCTTTCTTCCTCGTTTAAGAAGCGTGCTTTCTCTGGACTATCGGGTAGGACAAAAAATGTCACGATTCCAGCGGCTACACATGGTAAACCTTCAACCAAAAATAGAAGACGCCAATTTGCAATCGCGGCATGTCCACTAGTAATACCATATGCCAATGCACCTGCGAAGCATGTTGCCAAGGGCGCAGCACTGAGGAAAATTCCGATTCGTATACCGATCTCGTGACGTAGATAGAAGAAAGAAAGAAGGTATGGAATACCGGGACCATAACCGGCTTCGAAGAATCCGAGGAAAAACCTTGCAGCCATCATACCAGACCATGATTGGGTGGCTGATTGAAGAGTGGCAACGGTACCTGTGATGTTTGTGGTTAGTAATTGTATTTCTAGAAGACGCGTGGAACATATTGAGAATCCCTAAGTGCATTTGAAGTAGAGTTCGTTCAAACTATAAAATGCCTCAAGGATGATAAGATAGAACGATGAAATAGTGAAACTTACCCCATCCAACTACACAGAAACAAGCCCATACATGTGGGGGAAGAACCTTCCACATCAAAGCAAACCATTCAAATACAATGTATGCGATGTAGAAAATTGTCAACAACCATTCATATTCGCTGCTTGATATTCCGAGGTCTTTTGACATGCCCGCAGTTTTAGCATTTCTGATTGAATGTTAGAAATAAAATGACACGTTTCTTCATGGCAGGTACGTACCCAATATTCGATCGATCAAGATATGATAAAAGATCTATACAAATCAGTAAAAATTGGAAATCTCTGTAAATGAACTCTATAGATGTAACTTACACAATAATAACACCAATGGAATAAGGTGTTTATCCAATTTTCGCACAAGTCTCTTCTCTATCGCAGCATCAATGTGATAACCATTTTGAGCCGAGGGTGGTTCTAGAGCAGCTTCGAGTTGAGCAGTTTCTGGTTTTTCGAAAGTATCCATCTTGATGTGTTGCAATACCAAAAGAAGTTGAATTTCCTGGGACGCAAAATCAACGTCTTTTTCGGAGGGGTGATCAGTTGTGTCTTCTGTTGTGCTATTGCTCTTTTCGACTCCACTACATCAATCAACAGATAGCGATTGGCTCAGCGCGGCACAAATTCTCTTGCAATTCCAAAGTGTCACAAGGTACAGACACGTTGTGAAATGAGAAAGGAAAAAAATGCGAGAACATCTTCATTTTATTTCCTGAATGCGGAAAAAGAAACCCCATCTTTACAACGTCACATCCGTACCCATGAGGAGAGAAGAAGGTAGGTAGTACCTAGTAATTTCCATGTTGAGCTATCAACACGAGGATCTTGATAGGGTGGATATTGTATTCGTGGAGACCCCGCGATTTTTTTTGCGACGGCAATGTCCGTTCCTGTTAGAAGACGAGGGCTTATCCGACACTGAATGATTTTCCGTCATCTTCATTCGACGGTGAAGGATTGAGTTTCGACGAATGACCAAGCTTCCGGACAGCTATGCAAGCCTTTTAATCTATCTGATGAGAAGTCTTATTAAAACTACCCCGCAGATCTGAAAGATCAATGTTGGATTTCATCGTGATGGACCAATGAATCAGATGACGTATCAAAAACAATAACCGTTTCCCATGGGAAAAAGGATAAAATTTTGTCGCTGGGACATCTTGGTAATACGAGGAAGTCTGATGTGTTTGATAGGTACCTAGTAGGCATAGAGATTGGTTCATCATCTAATGATCTGATTACCTAGTGTGTGATTTTGATGGGATCTCCAGATTGGTACAACTGAGTACAGTACATTGGATCACGCTTGTGTGTATATTGTATGCGTGTTGGTTGGGTCGTTGGTTGGTTGTTGGCGAGGTTGGTTGATGATCTCCATCATCGGAAGAGTGTTTCCGCTTTGCATCGGCTCCGATTTGCCAGAAAGACCATGGATGAATCCAAATGAAGCAAACAGCCGACAGAAACACTTTACGAAGCATTCCTCGAAGCTTCACTTCTTCGGTGTTAACTGCTGTCTGTTCAATTTCCGATTTCCTTTTATTATCCAGAAAGCTCCACTTTATCTCGTGCCGAACGAGGAGCTCTTCCGTGGTGGAATTTCGGAAGGTATCGCGAGGATTAGTAATAACAGCGTAATCAAAAGAACTCTAAAGTACAGACGGACGGAGGGTTTTACGATAACCCGAAGCGAAAAACTCTGTCTAGAAAGTTATGAGTACGGTAGCACGAAAGGAAATTCTACGTGGAGTCTTTCGGAGTTCAATGACGGATATTAGAGTTCATGAGGAAAGCGGAACGGATTGATCTATGAACCGCCTGATTATTGTGCACTTGACGTATTGATAAAGTTCCCAATTGATGGAGGGAATGTTAAGAGGTTGGAGATATATACCAGAATTCTTTATTTTGTATCATCCAGAATTTGCACATGTATCACAAAGTATTCTCCTCTTGGCGGGCAGTGAGTCGAAATGATTGAAGATATACATTTATGATCTCCAAAGCAACGGCATACTCCGTTGGATCGAGGCATCAAAGCAAGAAGGGAAGCCCACCTAAAAACCATCACCATCACCATCACCATCATTCTAATCAAGATAAATAAGGAAGCAAAGCCGACACGCGTCCATCGGACAAATCACGGCACCAGTTCTCGGGACCGGCTCCACAATCTAAAAATGTGTTCAATGTAACGTTGTCGACCCGATTGATCCGTGATTTGCTCTATGCTCTATGTTCTATACTATAAGGAGATTTATCACCTAGCTAGTACCTCGAGCCTTCCTAGTTTCCCTACCATGCTGACATGCTCCTTCCAAGAACCATGGGATGGGATCATTATTTCTCGGGACTAAATCACGTGCTGATATTCAGGAACCAACAACGGCAGCGGCACAGTTAGATGGGTTAAAGAAAGGACTTCCCACATCCGAAAGGGACTAACTAGGTCGGTAGTGGATCTCAGGTAATGAAATGAATGAAACATAAATATATTCGTGAAGCTGTCAAGATGTCAAGTCATCTCATCAATTCAATATCAATACGTAAAAGTATAGGAAGAGTACATAGGACTTATCCTCTTCGAAAAGGTCAAGAAGAGGTTATCGAATACGGCATCGGCACCTGCATTACTCCTGCGTCAATGTTTGGGATGATCTACGCATGTGGCGAAAAGACTTTGGGGTGCTGTGTCTTTTCTAGAAGGAAATGGGTTGATAACTACTGGATCACGAAGTCGACATATGTGTATCCTATTTTTAACTCTCGTTATTCTCGTTATTCTCATCACTCTTGTCACTCATAGACTCTCACAGACTCTCACACCCCCCCCCCCCTCTCTCTCTCTCCTCTCTCACCATGAATGAAAAGTACAGCATGACCCTTCGACATGACCCTTCAAAATGTCTACTCCTGATGTATTAATCATTCTAGGTTACATCAAAAGTCTCAGCCACACCATTTTCTGTAAAACTTTATGATTTGGATCATCACCTTCTTTTTCTTTCCTTTAGCCTTTTAGCCTTGAGTTGAGGTACTGTCTTGTGTCAATCAAAAGGGTTGGTTTCCAAACACCACACGCGCAGAGACATAGCCAGCATCCATAGATCGTGCTCACTAACCATAATAATAACCTTCTCATTCCTTTTCATATACCCAGATGCTAGATGCTAGATGCTAGATGCTAGATGCTAGATGCTAGATGCTAGATGCCTTCTTTCGGCCGACCAAGCTGCAGATAGATGTGTTTCCACCAGATGAAATTTCGCAACCTAGAAATCTGTTCCTTGGGTGGTCTTGGACCTCTTCTGGGCTTCTCCTTGGCCGATGGACCAACATTGCCCATAACAGGCTTCGAGAGGATTAAATGGATTATTCAGACACATCTTTTGCCCATGAGAATTATAAGACGACAAGAATTAATCTATATTCCATTTCATCTAGTACCAATCCATACAGATGGTGCAAGAATGGTTTCAATTGAGAAATTTAATGTTTTACTATGGCACACTGCTTTCATTTCTCGAATTTATATGATTCACTTTGATTCTATATAGATGAATTTAGTCTGTTCATATACGAGGATGTAAAACAAGAGGTAGGTAGGCCAAGGGGAAGGGGGGAAGAGAGGCAAGGCTCCAAATTAGTAATCATTATGACAGGCAAATAGATTTGTTGGTGCCTTGAAGTTATGGCCACCACGGGCATCCACATTCATCAACAAGGTCTTCAGTGATATTTTTATGATTCGGCAGTGCAAGCTTGGTCGATCCCTTGGCAATAGCATCACCTTGCATGGTAAAAATACTACCCTATCACTTGGATGGCCACCTTGCACGTGCCTGGGCATCAAATGATTCTTTTGCCTGCCCTGCCTCCTGCTTGGTCCCCTCTACCTATCAGCGTGTATACCAAAAAATTCAATCTTTACTTGCAGATGACAAGACAGCAAAGAGTTACTGCAGTCAAAACAACATCAGCTGCAGTTTGATTACTCTTTCTTACTCTTTCTTCACTATTCATAAGTACCCGGTAGTCCTGCGTAAGTGCATCCATTATATGACCTAATCATCTTCTTCAACATCAACCACAGCCGCATCTTCGGTATCCACGGAGCAGGTACATTAACCAAGATCCTGACCTGAAATTGAAACAAGCCAGAGATTTTACGACGATTGATAACATTCGTTTAAACATTCGTTTCTGGCTCAATCCGTCTGTTATTTGTTGGGCCTTTGCCTCTACCCCCTCCCGAGGGCTTCTTCCCATTCGTACCCGCCGATATTCCGTTTGTTTCTTTGCCGCCGTGCGGTTCTATTTCGATTCATATAAATACGGAACCAACAACGGGAATGCAGAACACACAATACTCATAAAACACTAAACCCTCATCGCACATCTCTGAAAGCTTGGGAAAAGTGCCCGCCAAACACGACCAAAGTTTGCAGCAGGAAATCGCCCTGTTAATTAAATAGAACTTCGGGAACAGATATCTGTACCAAGGACCACTCAAAGGACATTAACCTCATTTATCAATTCCCATCTTTCTCCTCATATCCTCACTCAATTCCCCGTTGTTCCTCTTTATCCACTATCGAAGAAAAAGAAAACCCACCGCACCGCTGCTGCCGCGTAATCCTTACCATTCGAAAAGGATTTGAATCACTCGAGTCACTCCATCTCAAACATAGCAATCCTCGTTCACGCTGTCACATCAAACCAAATAGCGCACAATTCTTAATCCCCACATACTCAAAAGCGCACAATTCGGTCAAGAATCCACAATTAAACCTTTCATGGGGATTTCTCTTACCCTTGAGAGTGAAGAATAAAATAGAGTGCTGAGAGAAGAATTGTACATACAAGTCTCCACTTTGGCAGATCCTCCCTATTCGATTTTTTATTCTTATTCAAAGAGAAAAGGGAGAACGTCTCACGGAATGACGTTGAGTAAGTGAACTACTTCCATTCACACTCATTTTACCTTACAATTTTATATCTTCTTCAAAATTCTATCATTCCACTACAAAAACTTTTGGGGTTTGTACCGGAGGAAGTCAAAGAACAGCTAGAAGGGCAAACTATTACGAAAGTGCTTGCACTAGAAGATCTCAAGATGAGCTCTAGTCCAAAGAAGAGGTCGAGATCCGTCTCCCGCTTGCACCGCATTTCTGCATATTTTCCAAATATTTTTGTAGAGACAGACTCTAAATCTACTAAAGAAAAGGTTCCACCAATACCTCAAAATGTCAACATTCCTATCCGACAACCACCATCTCCCGAACCATCCGCAGACGTCCCACCCGTTCCTACGCTTCCTGCCATGCCCGCCAGTGCTCCGCCAGCACCACCGATTCAGCAAGCACCAAATAAATTACAAAAGGAACCACCTCATAATAATTCACCGCCAATCAATCCCTCTCCATCGCCAGATGTAACAGAACCGCCTGTCAATGAACTCACAGAACGAAGAGGCAGACACGGTTCCATTTCGAATGTCAATTCCCTTGCGCCTCCATCTCCATTCTCCGCGGTCAGTGGTAATGGCAATAGATCAGTATCGTCTCCCATATCCAGTCGACCAACTTCATACACTTCAGATGGTGAAAATAATGCGAAAGCATCAAAACGGAGGAGTTTTTTCCCGGTAAAAACGAAGTCGAGACATTCATCATCAAACTCCGGCTCCGATGGTAGATCATCTGCCTGGGTGATTGCAGGGGATCAAAAGATTGATTACAACATTTCGCTTGTAACCAATGGCGAGAAGGTAACAATACTATTGGCGGAACCTGTGATGAGATTATAGCTGACAGATAATAGGTGCCAGAATTATGGGAAGAATATTGTGATACATTTGTACATGTTTTTCCAGAATCATTTAGCCATGGCCCATCGTTCAAAGTTCCCTCTCTGGTCCTATCGTCATCTAGACCCCTTCACGAAATGATAACCAGCAGTATCGCTAAGCGGAGGTCAACAAGTTTGGATTCGGCTGGTAGGCAAAGTTCTGATGCTTCAACACAAACCGGTACACCCCCAGAAACCCCTGTAGATGGACCATCTGGATCGGAAGCGTCATCGGATTATATGAACCCATACCCTGAAAATAATGGAGAAATCCATCTTTACTTTCCGACTGAATTATCTACTGATGATCCTACTAAATTCTCTCCCGACGATATCCAAAATCTGATTAATGTTCGAAATTTCTTTGCGTTTATGACAGGTCAGCCACTTGTTGCCACCAAAAGTTGTCCTACTACATTTTACATATTCTTGGCCATATCTTCCATGTTACAGAAGTTCGAATTTAGCAATTATGATGGATCAACTTATGGAGAGGCAGCAGCAGCTAGCTTTGCCTTTTTCCTCGATGAATTTCGTTTAGCTGATGTTAGACAAAGTCGAGAGAAGACTATTGAGGCACTTATATTAGGAGAGCGCATGAGATCCACAGAATTATATCACGAGGCA